TTGTGAAAAGAACACTAAGTGGTGCTATCTCACTTACATCAAACAAAGGTACCAAAATGGTTCTATTTTCGTAAAGCTTGAGGTTATAAAACATGAAAGAAACCATGATATGGCTTCAGAGTTTCTATAGTCATTAACATATTGAGCATGCAGAACAACAATGAATTTGGATGTTAGGCAACATACAATCCATCTCATCACAGGATATGCAAGGTATGATGTTGGTGTTTGTAGGTAATTCAGAAAATGAGCCTTCAACTTCACTGATCCAGCAACTTGTCACTTTTAGAAATTAGTGCTGGCAAATGATTTTCATAAGAGGCAAATATGTTGACTTTACATTGGTAAAAAAATTACACGGTGCAAGCAATTCTATTTTGGACCCCTTGTACCTAGCTGTGTACACTTATCGTTGGAATCGACCATATGTTGACAACATCTCAGAGAGGTATGGAGGAGCCGTGTCTGCAGCGGAAAACAAGAGTGAGGATCTTGAACTGAATTCTGGCTTCAACCGGCAGCCAATGCAAACTCTGGAGGATTGGGGTTATGTGAGACCATTTGGATGTTTTAGTGACACCTTTGGCGGCGGCAGTTTGAAGTATACTATCCCAAAAAAGAAACGCATAGGCCAAACATCTATAACTCATCCACAAATAGACTTTAGTGCATGAATTTTTACACCAGTTTAAAAGAAGGTAATGTCTATACAACCAAGTGGATATTTTAAGATAACGGAGACGTTGAGCGCGATGGTGACGGCGTAGCACGGTCCCGACGTCGGTACTCCTGGCTGTCAGACCAATCGCTTTCAACCTGTTCCGTACAGTTTGACCGGATATCTACCGAAGTCCAGGCACCCTGGCTGCTGTGCTCTCACCCATGGCAGTACGATCACGCAAATGTAGTACCGGATGTACCGATCTTGGGCTGCAGTGGTGACTCGAGGTCTGCCTGTACGGGGACGGTCATTTGTTATACCTGTTTGGTTGTAACGAGCTGCAAGCAGTGATATCGTGCTCAGACTAACATTCAGACGCCTTGCAACAGAAGATGGGTAATCTCCAGCGTGCAATCTTTCAATGGCGATGTTCCTTGCCACAGAGTCAAGACGTGGCGTAGTGATTTGACCTTGAAACGCCTTCAAAACGAATGCCAATTTCCAAAAGTAATCTGGATTTTTAATGCCAGACAGTGCATGCTCTTTGCTGAACAATTTCAACTGGAAGGTGATATCTGTTGCGTTGTGGCGATGCCTTTTTGATCCTTGTAAAACATCTCATCAAACTCAACATTTTCGGGTAAAACCGAGGTTATTAAGGTGAGGTTTTTACCTGTGCAATTGTGTAATATCATGTTATGAACACTTCTGTTACATATTTTGACGATTGTTTGAACACAATAGGTAATTAATAGATTTTTTTAACACAAATCGCCTATGCGTTTCTTTTTTGGGATAGTATGTTTGAAGTCTGAAGAGAAGATCATTAGAGATTTCAGACAGTAGGCTATTGCAATAGTCAATACTGGAGAGAACAAGTGACTGAGTGAGAATTTTAGCTGCATCTGTGGTTACCAGATGGCGGATGTTACCAACAGAGTGGAGGCGGAAGTAACCTACTCTTCAGAGAATGTTCACATGTTGCTCCATGGTGAGACGAGGGTTAAGATAAACACCAAGGTTCTCAACACTGGATGAAAGAGGGATATCTGAGGAGGCTACTATGATGTCCGTAGATATCCTTTTCAGACGTTCAGATGTGCAAATCAACATAGCCTCAGTCTTGTCTTCATTGAGCTTCAGCTCATTTGTCATCATCCATGACTTAAATGCCTTTGTGCACTGACTCACTCTTGGTCTGGTTATTTGTACATCCTCTGGTTTGAAGGAGTCCATCAAATGGAGGTCGTCTGCAAATGCAAGATGATTCACATCAAAGTCTTCAATGACCTTCTCCAAGGAGTTTGTGTATAACACAAAAAGAAGTGGCCCAAGGACTGAGCCCTGGGGTACACCACACTCCAGGATCGTTGATTCAGAGACAAGAACTGACTGACTCCTAGTGCTCAGATAGGAATGGAACCAGGCCAGTGCATCCCCTAGTATGTTATAATCGTCATGAAGACGTCTGAAGAGCTAGAGTAGTATGACTGACTCTCTTTGAAATCCTGGAAAAAGAGCATGGTTCAATGTACCTCTAAAGTTGTAAAGTATACCACTAAAGGCTGGAGCTGTTGGAATATTGCTCCACATGAAGGGAAGTTGAAATCATCCCAACAGCCGTGTGGAGAGTTTGTTGTCACATGCATAGATCTAAACATGATCTGACACATGAGGCGGGTTCCCTTGTCTCCTTGATTTCAACTTCAGGTGGGTAAGCCAGAAGTTACATAAAACAGATCCAGAACTAATGTTGCTTTGACAGACCCGAAACTAATATTGAATAGACAGACCCGGATCTAATATTGATAAAACAGACTCGGAAATGAGGTTGGTTAGACAGACCCGGAACTGATGTTGATTAGACAGACCCGGAACTACCGTTGATTAGAAAGACCCGGATATAACAGACCCGTAACTAATGTTGATTAGACAGACCCGGATAAACCGGACCAGTAACTAATGTTGATTAGACAGACCCGTAACTAACGTTGATTAGACAGACCCGGATAAAACAGGCCCGTAACTAATGTTCATTAGACAGACCTGGAACTAATGTTGATTAGACAGACCCGGATAAAACAGACCCGTAACTAATGTTCATTATACAGACCTGGAACTACTGTTCATTAGACATACCCAGAACTACTGTTCATTAGACAGACCTCAGTAAAACAGACCAGTAACTAATGTTGATTAGACAGACCCGTAAGTAATGTTGATTAGAGAGACCCGGATAAGACAGGCCCGTAACTAATTTTCATTAGACAGACCTGGAACTACTGTTCATTGGAAAGACCCGGATAAAACTGACCCGTAACTAATGTTGATTAGACAGACCCGGATAAACCGGACCAGTAACTAATGTTGATTAGACAGACCCGTAACTAACGTTGATTAGACAGACCCGGATAAAACAGGCCCGTAACTAATGTTCATTAGACAGACCTGGAACTAATGTTGATTAGACAGACCCGGATAAAACAGACCCGTAACTAATGTTGATTAGACAGACCTGGAACTAATGTTGATTAGACAGACCCGTAACTAATGTCGATTAGACAGACCCGGATAAAACAGGCCCGTAACTAATGTTCATTAGACATACCCAGAACTACTGTTCACTAGACAGACCCGGATACAACAGAAATGGAACTGATGCTGCTTAGACTGACCTCAGTTAAACAGACCCGTAACTAATGTTGATTAGACAGACCTGGAACTAATGTTGATTAGACAGACCCGGTAACTAATGTCGATTAGACAGACCCGGATAAAACAGGCCCGTAACTAATGTTCATTAGACAGACCCGGAACTACTGTTCATTAGACATACCCAGAACTACTGTTCTCTAGACAGACCCGGATACAACAGAAATGGAACTGATGCTGCTTAGACTGACCTCAGTTAAACAGACCCGTAACTAATGTTGATTAGACAGACCTGGAACTAATGTTGATTAGACAGACCTGGAACTAATGTTGAGTAGACAGACCCAGATTATATAGAACCGGAACTAATGTTGATTACACAGACCCGGATAAAACAGACCCTGAACTGATGTTGATTACTCAAGAAAGTATGGCTAACAGTAAAATTGCTAACAGTGGGACCCTTCAACAGTTATCCAAGCCGATCAATGTCGTCATGATCAATGCAAGTCTCGATTCTAAAACTCGCTCCGTCGGTGAGTCAAAGGTCGGACTACTATCCCCGCCCCTTTTCCATTCACGTGCACACCCACGCCCGTATACACACGTGCACAGACACACGTACGTACGTCTACACTTAGTCTCACTTCACTTCTCAGACTATAATTAATTGCAGCAAAAAACGAGGTGGGCTCGTCACAAAGTGAGTAACGGGTGTTGTCCGACTCTATAGTCAACACAATACAGGTACTTGCTTTGCCACATGTCTCGATACATCAATTGGATTCTTTTAAACACATTCAGACTGTGAACTTATATTGTTGTAAACACAAAACTAGTCGAGTCTACGAGACTATTTCACCACCTTTTTATTGATGTCTTGTCATGTCTATATATCGGTTCCGTTTCTTTACAATAACATAGCGACATACCGCCGTACATGCTTGTCATATGTGGTTCTGTTTGAAGAAGACATAGGAATCGTTCATAATATCTGGAATAGAGGTGAGGTGAAATTGGGTTTTACGTCGTACTTGAGAATATTCACTCATATGACGACGTGCATGCGTGTGTATGTGTATGTGCGGCTGCTTGTACTAACCCAGACTTAAGCTGGTTTTATAGTGCTAGCCCACTGAGATACCATGCCGCAGTGAAGCATGAATACCCCACTCAGACACATTATACTGACTCCGAGCCGACCAGTCCTTGTTGTACCCATTAATGTCGAGCGCCAGGCAGGGACCAATCTGGAATAGACACAGTGAGGCACAGTATTTTACATCCAAACTTTCAGGTCACATTGTTCATTTACCAATTAGGGACCGTTAATAATTTATGGCTTGGGGGCGATGATTATTTTTTTATGGAGGAGCATGTACAGTGTGAATAACTCCCCTAAAATGTATGTACAAAGTAAGTGACCCCCCAGCCCCACCCCCAATGTCATGAACAAAATTGCTGACCTCCTCCTAGTACATATTACCTCCCCTGAACAAAATGGGTTTTTCCTACTGAAATGAACAATGCACTAAATGACATACCATTATACACCGGGTTAGATAAAACTTTATAATTTACCGTCACATGTAATAATCCTCGTATCTTTGCTTATAACCTCGGGACCCCATGGGGACCTGCTACACACGTGTATCAGTTCATCCATATAAGGTATTGCTATTGAATTCTCTTTCTAAGAAAAGCGTCATTTTCTTGGAAGTTGCCGCACCCTGTCCGCGACCACGTCCCTCATATTGATTGCTCGGAGAGCGGCGGAAAGGAAGCTTGAGAAAGGCGTCCGTCTTGCGTTAGAGATCACTTTACGACCTTACGACATCATGCGCCACAGCGGCGTCATCGTTTTCATTGCAGGTAACATTTCTTGTACATCCATACATTTCCTATACAAAAATTTCGATACCTTTTTATTGATTTCACCACCTTTTATTGATTTCTTGTCATGTTTATATCTCAAAGTTTGTGCGATACGATCACCTGAGCGCAAAGAAGGCTTTTATTCAGTAATCAGAGATATACCCGACGTCCAATGCGCTATCAGCCAGAAAAACATGCATACATATATACCGGGTTCCCGAATATTGGCACGCCCGGGAAACCCTGATATACACCAGGTAAACGACAACTGCTTCAATGACACAGAGGACCCTACATCTGATATATACCTGTACACGACAACTGGCACACTATCAGACAGAGGACCCTACATCCCCTGATATATACCTGGTACAAGACAACTGGTACACTATCAGACAGAGGACACTACATCCCCTGATATATACCTGGTACATGACAACTGGTACACCATCAGACAGAGGACCCTACATCCCCTGATATAGACCTGGTACATGACAACTGGTACACTATCAGACAGAGGAACCTACATCCCCTGATATATACCTGGTACATGACAACTGGTACACTATCAGACAGAGGACCCTACATCCCCTGATATAGACCTGGTACATGACAACTGGTACACTATCAGACAGAGGAACCTACATCCCCTGATATAGACCTGGTACATGACAAGTGGTACACTATCAGACAGAGGACCCTACACCCCCTGATATATACCTGGTACAAGACAACTGGTACACTATCAGACAGAGGACACTACATCCCCTGATATATACCTGGTACATGACAACTGGTACACCATCAGACAGAGGACCCTACATCCCCTGATATAGACCTGGTACATGACAACTGGTACACTATCAGACAGAGGAACCTACATCCCCTGATATATACCTGGTACATGACAACTGGTACACTATCAGACAGAGGTCCCTACATCCCCTCATATATACCTGGTACACGACAACTTGTACACTATCAGACAGAGGACCCTACATCCCCTCATAAGTACCTGGTACATGACAACTGGTACACTATCAGACAGAGGACCCTACATCCCCTGATATATACCTGGTACATGACAACTGGTACACTATCAGACAGAGGACCCTACATCCCCTGATATATACCTGGTACATGACAACTGGTACACTATCAGACAGAGGACCCTACATCCCCTCATAAATACCTGGTACATGACAACTGGTACACTATCAGACAGAGGACCCTACATCCCCTCATAAATACCTGGTACATGACAACTGGTACACTGTCAGACAGAGGACCCTACATCCCCTGATATATACCTGCTACACGACAACTCGTACACTATCAAACAGAGGACCCTACATCCCCTGATATATACCTGGTACATGACAACTGGTACACTATCAGACAGAGGTCCCTACATCCCCTGATATATACCGGGTACATGAGAACTGGTACACCATTAGACAGAGGACCCTACATCCCCTGATATATACCTGGTACATGACAACTGGTACACTATCAGACAGAGGACCCTACATCCCCTGATATATACCTGGTACATGACAACTGGTACACAATCTGACATATTCATTTATTTTTTTTTGTTCTTTGTAATTCCTGCATTTTATATTGACTTTATTGGTAACGAGTTCTTGTTTTCATTTCTAAATGAATGGAATCAATAAAGTCACGCCGACCAGAACGGACTAATATCATGACTGGAGAATGTCGGGAATCAATGCAATCAATTGGGGGAAGTTTCTGTTGTAATGAACTTAGGCGCAGTGACAGCAACCATTTCAGACTTTCTGCTTCAAGGCTTATCTTATAACTTGCATGATATTCATATCTAGTACTACATGCTAATATTTTGTCCATTCTTGGGTGCACATATCTTTTAATCTGGTTTGATAAATGCTAAGAAAACTAAGTAATTTATTATACATCCAACGTTTTGTAGACCAAAACCTGGACTAACTAAAATATGTCTAATATACTTGCCCCATTCTGTCTATATACGGCATCAAGATTAAATAACATTTCGTAACACTTACGCGGGAGTCTATTAGGTGGCATGTGAAGTAGTTTTAGCCAATATTTAATGCACCTCACCAAACTGTCTATAAACAATGGGTATCGTCCGCATTCCCCAAGAGCCATCACAACAGGAGTGTTACTGCCTGTACCATGATAGTGTTTACATGCGAGAAACTGGAGCCTTTTACCACCTCTATTTTTTTATGTTCCCATATTTCGCATCCGTAAAGAAGGATGGGTTTAACTTTTGAATGAGATATTCTAAAAAATGTTCCGAGAAGGACTTTTTTATATGTCCATATGCTTGTACTGAACCTGCATGTAATCGTTCAAGCTTAGCTTCCTTCAATACATATTAAACGCAGTATGTCTGAATGTGAGGAATCGAACCCGGGCTTTTTGCGTGACGAATGAGCGTAGCCTAGTAGTTAAAGCGTTTGTTCGCTTTAACATTGGCACAGTGTGTGAAGCCAGTTTCTGGTGTCCCGTGATATTGCTAGAATATTGCTTCGGGTGGCGTAAACCTAAACTTACTCACTCACTCTAAAAGCACGTTTTGGAATTTGTTTTATTTCATGAGTTGCAAGACTTGTAAGATGTTGTCAATGGATAGAAGATTTCTTTATTTGTCATGTGTGTCAGATCTATCGTAGCAAAACAACAAAGAAAAACACGTGAGGAAACTTCACCATGCCAGAACATCTAATAGGTCAGGTGAAACAACTTTCTGCATGTTCAGTTGTACGTTAGCTGCATGTGGTGGCCATGTTCGTACACACGGTAATACACCGATGCACTGTTAAAATAACAGTAGAAGACCTGTAGATTTCAGCAAATTCCCCTGGCTTTGGAACAATACAAGTTCACCGGATGTGAGGTGAAGTAAGGTGACAGTGGGTTAACGTCGCACTTAAGAATATTTCGCTCATATGACGACGTACATGCGTGTGTATGTGTGGCTGCTTGTATTAGCCCAGACATAAGCTGGTTTTATAGTGCTAGCTCACTGAGATACTATGCCGTAGTTAAGCATGACTACCCCACTCAGACACATTATACTGACTCCAATCCGACCAGTCCTTGTAGGTAGTCCTTTTGGTATGACGCGGCCGGGGATCGAACCCGCTACCTTCCGCTCTCCGTGCAGACTTTCTAACCACTACACCACGGAGACGGTCTCACCGGTTGTTAATGTTGGCTACACAAACTACAGCTTTGATATGTACACATCAGAAGCTATACCATCTGGAACTTACAATAGATGCTGATACCAGACTGTTAGCATCATGTACGCATCATATAGATTGTCAAGGTCACCCTAGATGTTGGATATGTACACATCAGAAGCTATACAATCTGGAACTTACAATAGATGCTGATACCAGACTGTTAGCATCATGTACGCATCATATAGATTGTCAAGGTCACCATAGATGTTGGATATGTACACATCAGAAGCTATACCATCTGGAACTTACAACAGATGCTGATACCAGACTGTTAGCATCGTGTACGCATCATATAGATTGTCAAGGTCACCATAGATGTTGGATATGTACACATCAGAAGCTATACAATCTGGAACTTACAAAACATGCTGATATCAGACTGTTAGCATCGTGTACGCATCATATAGATTGTCAAGGTCACCCTAGATGTTGGATATGTACACATCAGAAGCTATACAATCTGGAACTTACAATACATGCTGATATCAGACTGTTAGCATCGTGTACGCATCATATAGATTGTCAAGGTCACCATAGATGTTGGATATGTACACATCAGAAGCTATACCATCTCGAACTTACAATACATGCTGATATCAGACTGTTCGCATCGTGTACGCATCATATAGATTGTCAAGGTCACCCTAGATGTTGGATATGTACACATCAGAAGCTATACAATCTGGAACTTACAATACATGCTGATATCAGACTGTTAGCATCGTGTACGCATCATATAGATTGTCAAGGTCACCCTAGATGTTGGATATGTACACATCAGAAGCTATACAATCTGGAACTTACAAAACATGCTGATATCAGACTGTTGGCATCGTGTACGCATCATATAGATTGTCAAGGTCACCCTAGATGTTGGATATGTACACATCAGAAGCTATACAATCTGGAACTTACAATACATGCTGATATCAGACTGTTAGCATCATGTACGCATCATATAGATTGTCAAGGTCACCCTAGATGTTGGATATGTACACATCAGAAGCTATACTATCTGGAACTTACAATAGATGCTGATATCAGACTGTTAGCATCGTGTACGCATCATATAGATTGTCAAGGTCACCATGTGCTTTCTCAACCTTCTACATTCATTTGGTGCAAAGCTGTGGCATGAGAGACGATAACGATGCTCATTACACACGCTGACCTATTTTCATTAAAACGTCACCTTTTTTTCTTTATCAGCTTCTGGGGCGGTTGGGTAGTCTAGTGGTTAAAGCGTTCACTCATCACTCCGAAGACCCGGGTTCTATTTCCCGCTTGGGGACAATCATTCTCTTCCCACAGAGGTTACTTGTCATATCTTCCTACGAACATCTGTTCTAATACGGCCGTATTTCCCGGTTCTCGTAAAATCCCCTAGCGGCAAAAGATCGCAACACGAATTATATCCCTTCTTTCTATCCAATCAGAACACGTGTTACATCGACTTAGATTCAACTTCACTAAAACAAGCAAATGTGGGGCCACAAATATGCCCCATCTGCCGGGGACTTGTGTTGATGTTACACACAAGACGTTTAATGGCTAGCTTGTCCGTTGTCAACGAGGGCGATGGAGACGCCACTGATCCGCCATAACATGACTGAGTTCCGTCTAGAAGAAACGTTTGCGCATCGCGCAGAGGAAGAAGTTTAGTTTTCTCGAATGATCACTTTTGAAACAACGTCGCTGATTGCAGAACTAAATCTGATTGCCTCCAATCACGAGTCTTGAACGCTCCCACCATGAAAGGGCCGTATTAGAACAGAGGTTACGTAGGAAGATATGACAGGAGTAACCTCTGTGGGAAGAGAATGGGGGACAATGTGTGAAGCCCATTTCTGGTTTCCCCCGCCCTGATAATTGCTGGAATATTGCTAAAAGCGGCGAAAAACCAAACTCACTCTACCAGCTTCTAGCAGTTTTTCAGCAGCTTCTGGTTCGTCCTGACTTCCACATGCGAGCACATTTGTCAATAAGATACAACAACACTCCTATTTTTAGACATAATGTCCTTCTTAAGCTGGTGGTAGTGCATTTGGGACGTAAAACCTAGCTTTTACTTTTTATAAGAAAGGTGCAATGGACGTTCCAATTGAAAATACATGTACATAATCAGTTCACGGAGACTCCTCTCCTTCCGTCTGGAGTCTTGTTGTATTCAGTTATTATCAGTGAACAACTGATAGCAGCGTGGACGTAGCCATACTGTTTCGAGCGATATTTTTAATATGCCTGTTATAAATTATTTACTTCTCTAAGCCATTTTGGATCTATCCACATGTCACTTTTGCCTTTTGCCATCGTGATTAATACAACAAAACCTGTTTTCAAAAATCTCATATCTAATAAATGAACTGGTTAATTTGGTAGAACATTGTGTTTTTCATCATAACATACATCAGTGATAATTATTAGACAAAGTGCCACCCTTCACGAAGTATGTTCAAGCATGTCGGCAATGCCGGTGCCTCGAAATTGTCCGGGATCCGTAGCGACAAGTATGGAGGGGTTCCCCAGGTGTAGCGCCCAGTGCTGGATAAATAGGAGAACTGTCCTCATCTCCAGAATGTTGATGTGGAATGGAGAACCTGATGACATCTTGTCTTTGAGATGATCCTGCGATTGATGTGTCTTGTAATAGGTGACGATCTGGCTTAGGCATCCTGGTCGGAGTCCCGTCTATGGTCTATGACATTGTCGGGAATATTCCACCATGCGATGTCTTTGAACATTAGATCAGTAGGCACTTTGACAGAATCTAGCAATGTCTCTCGATGTTGGTTGATTCAATATTGAGTGTATAATGCATCTCTGGATGTAAGATCCTGAATGAATTTGAGAGCTCCTATTAGCGACATCCATTGACGTAGAGTGTGAGGAGATCCCTCAAACTCCGTTATCCTGGTCCTTACATAAGTACAACGATGTACAAGGCCTTGAACCATTTCTTTGTTGAAGCACTGACTTGTCCAGATGTACGAGAAACCCCATATTCCTGGCTGGCAGTTACTGAGAGTCTTCTAAGCTGGCATCCAGGTCAGCGTTTACAGACAGAAAATTAAAAGGTTTCGATCCTTGAGTGAGGATAATCCCTCATTCAAATCCTTGATGATCTTATATTAGAACGGTGATAAAACAACTAGAGCAGCCAACTTGTTAGTTACTAAAGATGTAGTGGTCTGATGATTTCATTCTCAAGTCCATATCAGTGAAACGTCTGTAAAATGTTCCGTTTAACTGTTAGAAGAACAGGTGTTAATAGCCGCATCTTTCAATGTAGGGCTAACGGTAGTCTTGCACAAGTCTCTAAGGTAATAATTAATAGTTTAAATGATAACCTCTAACACGCTGGCGTCCATATGCATCTAGACTTGACTCTTTAAAGGATAGAATTACTTACAATACATTCATGGGCTTAGCCTTTAGTGCAGCCTTGGAGCAAGGCTAGGCTAACGGTATCTGGGCCTGTGCGGCCGGCGCGGCTTCTCTCCTCCTGATCTTTGGCTGTGTCCTGCTATGAAAACTGTCTGAGCAGTCCGTGTGGTCTGTACTTGAACAGCTCCCCGAGCTTGTACTGGTGGCGTCGATCCTTTCATTTTTGCGATGATGTCCCGCAACAAGGTGAGCTGGACGCGGACTGTGAGGTCAGTGTGGTCTGTGACTCTCCGTCATTGTTCCGTCCACAACATCAAAGCCCACGACTTATAGGTATACCTCAGCTGAGGTGACAGCAGTAGACGGCGTGGACCTCTCTTTGATGTGGAGGAGGATGGTCCTGTTCGCTGGTTCTGCTGCTGGTAAGGCCCCCTTTGTTGCAAACTTCCGTTTAACAGCCAGGGAAGTTGACTGACGGGGCGTGTCTGGATCAGACAGGACGAGAGGTCGCCTAGCTCCGACTGATTGTCTGATATCACCCTGCACTTAAGCTGGGTCCTAGCATCTTCTCTTTATTTTGTTGTTGATGGAATTCAAAGACATACTTCTAAAGGCCACCAGCAACTTCTCACAGGTCCGGTTAAGCAAACCTTAGTGCCCAAAGGGGAGGACGATGTGTATGTAGATCCCTTCGACTTACTCTTGATTGTGCTCGATAGGCCAATCATACCATGACTATGTTTACATTAAGTTTTAATCGACTGCATATGGTGGTAGACAAAGCAGGCGGGTGGGGTACACCGAAGTGTCCGGCCTTGTCATGATTTATTGTACTGTGAAGCATTTCGAGACAGGGGTCATCTCAAAAAAACATTTAAAAAAAAATCTTTATACTTGAAAAGACACGAGGACCTTTGGATCTAACCTCTTCTACTACTTTCTCCGCTAGTTTGTGCTTCGGCAATACCGTCCAGTAGAAGCCAGGACTTCAGCTCATGTCGAAACCTTTCCACGGACATCACAGGGTGTTCAACGGAGTTCCTACAAGGAATATCTACGAATGGACTTTTCACAGACTTCACCAAAGGCTTTAATTTGACATCTGCCATATCAGGTTCCTTCTGCCAGTCAAGGTACGTACGTTTCTAATTTTCGCGATAATAATGAGTGAGTGAGTGAGTTGTTGCGTTTTACGCCGCTTTTGGCAATATTCCAACAATATCCAAAAATGGGCTTCACTTCACGACAATTAATATCTAATACTTGACATTTATGTCTTCAGTGGTATATATGGACAGTATCTTCTTTTACTGTAAAAAGAAGCTGGTCTGTGTCCAGCAGCTGGTCTGTTTGTGTCCAGTAGCTGGCCTCACTAAAATAGTATGTGGCTTCATTGTGTCCAATGGCTGACCTTACTGTGTCCATTAGTGGCGATTGTATGACCACACCTAAGGTGGTGACTGTATGACCACATCCAAGGTGGTTACTGTATGACCACACCCAAGGTGGTGACTGTAGGGTCACATTCTTGTGCTGACTGTATGGTCTCATCCTTGTGGTGACTGTGTGATCACATCCTTGTGGAGATTGTAGGGTCACATCCTTGTGGTGACTGTAGGGTCACATCCTTGAGGTGATTGTAGGGTCACATCCTTGTGGAGATTGTAGGGTCTCTCCTTGTTGTGGTGACTGTAGGGTCACATCTTTGTGGAGATTGTAGGGTCACATCCTTGTGGAGATTGTAGAGTCACATCCTTGTGGTGACTGTAGGGTCACATCCTTGAGGTGATTGTAGGGTCACATCCTTGTGGTGACTGTATGGTCACATCCTTGAGGTGATTGTAGGGTCACATCCTTGTGGTGACTGTAGGGTCTCATCCTTGTTGTGACTGTAGGGTCACATCCTTGTGGTGACTGTAGGGTCACACCCTTGTGGTGACTGTAGGGTCACATCCTTGTGGAGACTGTAGGGTCACATCCTTGTGGTGACTGTAGGGTCTCATCCTTGTGGTGACTGTAGGGTCACATCCTTGTGGTGCACAAGGTAACTGTAGGGTCACATCCTTGTGGTGACTCTTTGGTCACATCCTTGTGGTGACTGTAGGGTCACATCCTTGTGGAGATTGTAGGGTCACATCCTTGTGGTGACTGTAGGGTCACATCCTTGTGGTGACTGTAGGGTCACATCCTTGTGGTGACTGTGGGGTCACATCCTTGTTGTGATTGTAGGGTCACATCCTTGTTGTGATTGTAGGGTCTCATCCGTAGTGTTGATTATATGGTTTCGTCCATGGTGGTGATTGTATGGTCTCGTCCGTGGTTATTCGTATGTGACCCGGTGTTAAAAGGGGTCAGTGTCAGAGAGATGTTTTGCTTTCATACTCCATTCACGGCCATGTTGAATAATGCATGTACACACTTTTCTAGCACCAAAACTGCTATCCTTGACTTCTATGGGTGTATATATGAGAAGCTCCTCGCCTGCCTCTCATCTGATTGGCAAAAAGTACTCCCATCCCTTGACCAAAGAAAACAGTCCTTTGACTACATGTGTGACAACATCAATGGTAAGTTTACGTTCGCCATTGACGACCTTGGCCTTAACCTGTCCCGCACTTAAAAGAATCAGCGATTTGATGGGACAAAATTTATTTTTAGCCAATGAGCTCCCTTGCTCTTTTACGTGCGGGACAGGTTAAAGCCAAGGTCGTCGATGGCGAACGGGCACGACACAATTCTGTTTGCGATGACTAAATGTACGTAAACTCATTATGACAGGGAGATGTAAGTGTCTCCGAAAGAATGGCGACTAGCGCGCTGACAGGCGCCATCAGTTCAACGTGTTTTGGTGCATGTCGCTTGTGTATACTGTGATATAAACACGAAAAAGGGTGAGTTACGGCTACAAATTCTGAGCAGGGATTTTGGCTCGGAATCGAGAAATCACGATTTTTCGAGCTTCCGAAGACCCTAGCTCCCAAAGTACTGCTTCGATTTTTGTGCTGTATGTCTCATTTTGTAGGTAAATCTATTGGCTTGAAATGTGTGCAACTTTAAATGGGATAAATATAGTGAGTATTGTTGAATTGGCCCTGAAACGAACCTGGTGTGTTGACCTCGTTACATCCCTTTCCTTTTATATAGTACTAAGACCCCGTCAGTGACAGTATATGCCTTGATGGCAGTTTTTAGCGTTACAAGCCCCTGTGGTTGATTTAAGACCGCTAAATTAAACATTAAGCGGTCTTAAATCAACGATAAAGGACCGCAAAATTGAAAACAGAGTAGCTTTATCTTCATTCTAGCACGACTGATAAGCGTTTTAAAACCGAACTGTTTGGCGCGCAAGAACACAAGGCGCAAAGGGGCCTTTTTCCTGGAAATCGCTTGGAATCGTCCCGTTGAGGGACAGGTTGTGTAATGAACAAAATAAGACATTTTCAACAACATAAATGCTATATTTCAGGAACCAGTATCCTTGTATTTGTAACAAGTAGCATACATAAATTTTTAAAAAATACAGTTTATACTTCGAGCAAGTACAATTATTTGATTTTTCTCAAGCGAATTATTGATCTCCCCTACTGTATGACAATCGACCCGCCCAAATGCAAGCCGTGAACTCGCTAAGTTTAGTCGCCGCAAACTTTATTCACGGAAATAATTGTTGATAACCACCCTACTATTCCCAATTTGGCAAAGAACTGACATGCCGTGTTTTATGTGGGATACATTGACAGTGGAAGTGGAAGGACTGGGCATTACGGCCGGGACGGAAGCTGTTAGGTTAGGACGTGTGGGCCGACGTGTGTTGTCGACGTCAACACACGTAGATATGGACCCGCTTTGAATATACTGCCGCTTTTGCGCTGCTTACGGATTTTCCAGCTTCGTAGTTTCTTCACTGGGATTAGGGTCCAGAAATTCTTCTTCAAACCATTCGCTTTTTACTTCAAAAACACCAAAGATGCAGCCGAGATAGAAATTGCCGATGTCCGACATGTTTGTTTACAAACAATAGGGTCAGCGAGTTCGTGGTATTGATACGCGGTGAATCTATCACTTTAATTAGCGGTCCTTAAACTGTCATTTAAGTACGGTTTTGATGAGCTCTCAGCCAATCAGAATCGAGTATCACACATTGCCGTGCTAGAATTACTGCTAATTTGTTTGCTATTTACTAAAAATGGGTTCTACAAGTGACAACAACTTGTGGTGAGTTATGACCATTGTATGAACTTTTACCTGTGATCTCTTCATACCTGGAGGATGCTGCACTGCTTTTAAACTTTTGGCCATTATGCCTTAGTTCTAAATAAACATGATTATCTGTCATGAAAGATATATCTATTTCAGATGTGGACCTTACATGTGTAGGAACTACTGAGAATGCAGGAGCCCTACTGAACTGTTTAAAGCAGGGAACCAAAGGAGGTTTTAATTTATCCACGCCTGATGGATATCTCGCATTCGTCTGCAGGTAAAATCAAAACATAGTTCAGAATAGAGTAGTGTAGAATATTATAATGGTAACGCTATTTTTCAGGGCATTATCATTTGCAGAAGCCCGAGGTCTTTCATTAACTGCCCGACGAAGGACATCCTCGATAAATTCCAGGGTATACGTTCCGATAAATCTTCACTAGTACCCAGGATGCACCTATGGCTCGGCCCGATAATTTTATTACCTCCCTTTGCTGGCTCCGCATTTTCACAGTAGCCAATCAGCTAAGCCGCCGCTACAACCGAGTTTGCCAGTGTCAACAAAGATAGCGCAGCCGCGAAGGTTTGTTTGCAGTGCCACTCAGATTTGGGGGCAAATCATACAGAAAAATTGACAGGTCTGAAACCTTAAAAAAAATATATGCATGAACTCTTTCTACCTCTTTCCGAGTACCTCTGCAACAATTATGTTGCCAAGTTTAATCGGTTAGATAATAGAAGCGAAAGAGAGTTGTGATTGGTACCTTCCCAGCGTAGACACCTGACTGGATAAAAAGCCAGCCAAGGGAGGTAATAAAATCATGCGGCAGAGCCGTAGATGCATTCAGGATTTAGTGGAGATTTATCGTAACGTATACCCTGGAGATTATCGAGGATGGACGAAGGAGGGCAGTTGAAAAGACCTCTGGCTTCTGCAAATGATAATTCCCTGAAAAGTAGCGTTACCGTTATTATAGCTAAAATGGATAGATTTTTTATTTTAATAAAATAAGGTCATTGCTGCATGTTGTAATTTATGGTACAATTGTTAAGGTTTGTAACGGCAAGAAAGTGTATAATGGCACAGGTACATGTGACAAATATGTCAGAAATATTGTCAATATTGAACCCAAGTTCAAATTAGCCGTAGGTGATTGAACATCAAGAGCTGAGCTCCTTATGACGTCACCTAACAACGGACATGATAATGGCCCGTCGTTAAGCAATTTGGGGGCATTATCAAGTTACAGTGGCCCGGTTATTCTTGATACTTATGCGGGCGTTTCAATGATAATTCTGTCCATTTTATCTATAATGAAAAACAGCAATTACTTTCTCGAATCTCTTGTTTCAGTAGCAAACATTAAAACACAAACAGTAGCAAACACAAAGTTAACATTTTTTCATGTTTCACTACTTGATCAGTTAGTCGTGAATATAAATAAACAGCCTTATCACCCTGGCGGGGCTTTCAAGATGACGATATTTCCCGTCACGTGTTAATCTGCCATGTGACCGGATTAAGTGGCCATGTTGCGAGATCTCGCAGGAGGCGGGCGGCGGGCGGCGGGCGGACAAATGGGAAGAGGGCGGTGGTGCGCTGGAGAGTTTGTGTGGGTATGTTTTTGAGAATGTGTTTGCTTATGCACTGTTTTGGGATGCAGCAGTTGCAGCTACTGGTCCTGAACGTTTCGAGGACTTGTTCGGGAAGTTCATACTGCACTGATCTTCTTTGTCACCGTAATGCCAGGGATACTGACAGTCGTTACTGTCATAAGAGACCATATAATAATAATATTATATGGTCTCGTGCCGTTGTTTGCTGCTTCCTCATGTGGGCATCTATGCTGATGTCCATGAACACTACAGCATACCATAAGACTGTTTTTTAGGACCAAACAAGCTGTACATTCTTCGAAGCAGCAGGTGTTGCTTTCTATAAAAACACAGGATTGTTTGCAGTGGCAGATCCACATCATGAAGATGGGCATCTATCTAAAATGGCTTCACATTCATCACTTCTGACATAGATCCACACTACGATGGCTCAAAGTGCCATAAGACTGTGATGGAACAGATGCTAAATCAAAGAGACCATAAAGAGACACTGTATTGGCTGATAACCAAGATTATATGGTCCTCGATATCTCCAGGGTATACGTGAAATACTCTGGATGCATCCACGGCTTTTTATGTTGACACCTCCCCTTGTCTGGCAAATCAGGTGTCTACGCTGGAAGTGAGCGAAGATGCTTTCTTCAGAAGGACCGTCAAACTTCAAAACCAAAAATGCCACTGTGATGGAGCACATGAAAGTTACCAGCTCATAATCCAAATCTGGTGGTACTGTTGGCCAGGTACACTTTTCCCGCTGAAAGAATGAGGAGCCACTGTATATAATTATCGCCAAGGCGTGGATAATCCAAGAACAGAGTGATCGTATAGTACCGACTCTGATAGCTCCTCCAGCAAACTACCCGTGAAGGTCCGGGTTAGAATATTGATCTTCAGTAACCCATGCTTGCCTTAAGAGGCGACTAATGGGATCCCAGCCAAACAGTAGTGGACGTTATGCTCACCTGGAACTACCTCAAAGAGGAACTCAGATTTGAAATGCGTAAAAGAACGCAAGTCAACATCTATGCTTAAACTCTGAAAACATGTGTATTGCTCTCACGGGTTCCTCCTGCTTAACAACAAACCCACCTGACTATGTCCCTGTGTCTCGTCAGATGTTGTGATCAAACACATGGACACCTACGCTACGTGGGATTGCGTCAAGAAACAACAGACGCCATCAAAATATATTTAATGCATGATGTAGGACGTCCTGTGCCATTCCTCTCTCCAGTCAGCTCTCAAAACAGGACTAAAGATGTTGCCAGGAAAGATATCAGTTGTGGACATGTGTCACGGACAGTTTGAAACATCTCGTGTACAGCTCTCAGCTGGTCCATTCCCACCATTGGAACGGCCCTTTTCAGGGCCTACCAAACTCGTCTCAGCAGAATGCTTGAAGAAAGATATACTCGAAAACAGCCCCTTTCCCTGACCCACACACACTCTCCATCGCCCCACACGCCATTTCTCCGCAAGTCCGCCCGCCACCTCTCGTTCCCCGTTCAAACCGGAAAAGCTAATCATGTGACTGGAAGTGGTGACGTCTTACAAATCCCGCCAGTGTGACTTCGTTGACAACTAACATCTGAATTTGGTTATCCTAATCTTCTGATATTTATAACAAATATCTGTCTAAACATGTAACAACTAATGATGGCATTTCCAGTGCATCACAGCTGTACGAAAGCTGCACTAAGACAGCCTATGGTTCCTGTCCGAAGAGAACTGCAGAGGTCCTGGTAGAAATAGACAAGTTAACCAGACCGGCTGGCTGTGACGCTTGTGTCTCCCAGCCGTCTCTCCTCCTGTTGGCCTCAGTGCTGGCTTTCATGATGGCTTTGTTCAAGTAGATACCCAGGCATTCACCGCCACAGTTATGCTTGTACTGCTAGTTTCATTTGAACATATTTCAAAACAGGGAAAGCGAAAAATGTTGACATAGCAACATAGCCACAGACTGATCGTTTCTTTAATCTCATAGAGGTAAGAACTGCGTGCTGCAGTTTGCTGGGCAGTAGATAGCATCGGGGTGGGTGGGGGTGGGTGGGGTTGGGGTTGTGTGTGTCCGTTATCCTTCCCATATCTGTCAATGTATCGGATGCTACCAACTGGGAGTCATGGTTGTTTGTTTATTATATCAATAAAGGAAGGGAGATCAACATATGGCAATGACATTTTGCACAACCTGTTGGTGAACTCGAATCTCTCCCCCTGTTTCGATTTCAGGTGTTCCCGGTGTGTTGTAACTTCTGGTTTGTTGTATGCTAGGGTACAATTGATCAACGAGGAATGTCAGGGTTAATGATTGGTTTAAAGTACAGGTATGATCTCAGTTACTTGTCTTTGTCAGTACATAACGATATATCGTATCCTTTTGTAGAGGCCAGTGTACTTGTAGGATGCTGTTTTCACCATACGTTTGGCCTGGTCCCGACTCCGTTATGTACTGACCCGAGTGACCAACGTCCTGCAACTGGTAGTACTTGGATTAGGGTACGCATGTGTGGAAGTGCGGCATCTATATAAATATATCATTGTGTGGTACTATCCAGGATCCGGGGGTTTCACTGTTTTGAAATATGTTCGTCCGCTTTTCTGCAGTAATTTTAAGTGCTTAGTAGTTAGAAAATTCTAAGTTTGTATCCAGTTCCTTTGATTTTTAATGTACTCTACATCTTACACGCTTAGAACTACTTCCAGCATCTGGATATATATCCCACGTTCCCAGATATCATGATCCGTGTTCTGTCGTGAAAGAAGTTAAAGTTTTAATGTTTTTCAGGTAATCCATCATCTCGAATACAACTGATGGTTTAGGAAGCCTTAGTAACTTAGTCATTAGAGTTTACAGAAGTCATCTGTTGTCTTCATCCATATTGTGGGATTCAGATCGTAAAAACACCCCTGACACTCAACATAAGTAATGTAATGTGTTTATTGTCTTACAGCAATTTTGTTTAATTATATTTCAAAACTCTTCACAATCATTAATTCTTGATGCTGTGTTTCTCAGTTTCGTGTTTTGGGGACACAGGTTTCAAGATTTGTTTCTGTTACTTCTTCAGCTCAGATTCAGATTGTTTCTGCTTATAATCAATCAAAAAATAAATTGCTATTGTTTTAGAAATTGTTGGAACTTCAGTGTTTTCTTTTCATCAAAGATCAAAACAAAATTGATCAAATTATAAAAATACGACGAAAGTAACAGACTGCCCACCTCTCGACGTGAGTCAACAATGACTGTTGCGGAAGATTGTGTAAATTTCTATACGTAGACAGCTGCATTTATGCATACCTTACATAATTCAAGTGATCCTACTTGGTGAATAGTTCTTGCGAGTTATATTTGGGATTTCCATGAAGATCCGGGTTAGAATTGATCTTCATTAACCCATGCTTGTCGTAAAAGGCGACTAACGGGATCGGGTGGTCAGGCTTGCTGGCTTGGTTGACACATGTCACCGTATCCCAATTGCGCAGACAGATGCTCACGCTGTTCATCACTGGATTGTCTGGGCCAGACTAGATTATTTACAGACCGCCGCCATATTGCTGGAATATTGCAAGGTGCGGCGTAAAACTAAACTCACTCTATCATTTGGGATGTCATTATGCTACCCTCCTGTGGAATGCGTTTGAGAAAAGACGCCACCCATCCTGGAAGGCTTGCCACGTCAGCGCCATCAGAAATGATTCAGAGAATCCATGGCATGTTACGACCCGCTTCCTCTTAGCAGCTAACTGTACCCAAACTTCAATGGTGACAGGAGTTTTGTTGAGGCAGGCCCAGTCCTCTGGGAATGAACTTTCAGATCACATACAGCATATCACTAACTTTCAGACATTCCAGCATGGAGTGAAGACCTGCTGTTTCAAAGAGCCTTGGGCCTGCGCTTGAGCAACGTTTGAGTGTAGGCGCCACATAAATCTGAAAATTATATGAGGATGGCGACCAGTGGCTCATGTTGGTAGTTCAGCAATCATCTTGCAGGAGAGAAGGACAGCCCATAATCACAGTGACATTGGCAGTGTCATCTCGTTGGTTCGGACATCTGATAAGAAAAACACCAGGCACAATGTTGGAGGCGTTCGACATCACCACTACAAAAGAAGGCAACTACTTGCCAAGCAGCTGAGACAGTCATTGCTTACGTGTTTAAGGGTTTTCAAGGGGGTCTTCAACCTGGACGGTCGACCAAATTACCATAGTAGGCTGGTCTTTTGAAACAATTTCGAGATGAAAGAAAGACCAAGGGGAGCGGGTAAACCTGCTGGGTAGGAGCCTGTGGTGTAGCTATGGTAACAGTGTTGGCAGTTTCGCACACAGGAGCGTACCATTATGAAAAAAAGCCGGGGCTTACACATGATTTTGAAAAGTTGGGCAAGCCTCAACACTAACTAAATATAAAGCTTTGCAACCTACCGGGCTTACACGAAAAAAACATTATTATTTTATTTTTTTAAAATTCTTTCTCTTTTCTTTCTTAATATTTTGATGTATTAGTTTGAGAAAAACATTGTCAACGTGCAGTGTGTACACGTGATACTTAACAGTGACGTAGTTCATAGGGGGTCGTGTTGAATATAATGTTGGTCAGTGTACCTCAGTGATAATTGTGCTGAACTATGACATAGGGGGGTCGTGTTGAACATAAGTTTGGTCTGTGTACCTCAGTGATAATTGTGCTGAACTATGACATAGGGGGTCGTGTTGAACATAAGTTTGGTCTGTGTACCTCAATGATAATTGTGCTGAACTATGACACCTCTGTGAACTGTAGAAATTTAAATATCAGTGCAATGGTATGTTATGGCTTTGCCAGGTTTAACAGAAACCAAGTCAGAATCTCGCAGTTTGAATCAAGAGAGCTACGTGCTGTTGTAAGACCATGCCCCTCCTTTTATCCCTAAACAGGTATACATTTTCTGGACAAAGAGCTAAGTCATATTCAAGGTTGCGGTACTTCTTCTCATAGCTACATGCACAATTGTCCTAAACGTGCCTCCACATGACGAATGTGAACCCTGCTCTCCTCCCTCGGTGTTCACATATTACATTTGTGTTTGCCACAGGTGCAGTGGTTAAGCTGTCGAATTAAAGACAAAAGATGTTTACCAGTCGTTGTCAAGTTGGGATGATAAGTGCTCAATGTGGGTAGTTATGTAATATCGAATCAGTCATGTCTGGTGAATGCAGTGAAATCGTGTCTATATTGCACTTGCAAGCGGGACCATATAAGTGTAAATAGTATCAACAGGGCACACAAAGGGTCCTGTGTAAACTCAACTGACACCTTTCAAAAAAAGTGTGACTAAGGTGGGTTACTCAGAAATACTAACCTGTATATATGGTATACTTTGCTGTACATAACCAACGCATACATACAAAACATCTGAGTCACGTGCATAAAGTATTTGCTCACACAAAAAGACTTAGTGAGTGAACAAGTAAATATTGCTTAAAGGTGAGTCAGCAGTATTGCAGGTATTGCGGCTAAGTTTGTAAGAATATATGACGAAACGCTTAATTATGTATCATTATAACAAAAGTGTCATATTTATCATCCAAAATGTCTACTGGTGGAATTACGGAAACATAAACGACCCACTCTACTAAAATTGATTGTGTATGTAGAATATATGTGTGTATAATTGACTTTCTATGGCCTGTTTGAACAAACACAGCTCTTAACCTTAATGATCTTGAAGAATATCTCATTTGTAATCGATGTGATTGTCTGAAACTAGAATACGATCACGTGACCAGCTACCTTAAACTTTTAGTGTTTTTTGTTTTATTTTCTTTATTCGTTCCCATAATTGAATGCAAGCATATAATTAAGCAATAATTAAGTGTACATGTGCATGATCAAAGTTCATCAACTGGTAGCATAAAGACATTATAATCCAGTAAAGTTATTCAAGTTTGATGACAGATTTAGTCAGAGATCGAAAATTGAGGATAAAGGGAACCATTTCTCTGAAAATTTATCAAATTTTTTGTTCCTTCTGGATATGAAATTTTCAACCTTGTAAGAGTCTTTCAAAAATTTTAAGAAATTATTAACTTTTGGAATTATTTTCTTTAAAGTGCAAGTATATATATATATATATGTCTTTTAGCAGAAAAGATTATATGATTTAGCAATGGCTTATTACCCAAAATACCAAACCAAACCAAAGTCTTTGTTATTTCAAATTTCTGTATGTTTTGGATTATCCAAATTTCAAGTTCTTTCCAGAAGGTTTGGGTTACATTACATTCCCAATATACATGACATAAAGTTTCACTATCCACATTACAAAAGCTACATATTGTATTGTCAACAAGTTTCATTTTCGAAAATTCTTTTGTTTTATATATATAATTCTGTGCAAATATTTAGATTTAAAATCTAAAAGTTTTACATCTTTCAAATTGTTTCTGCAAATATTAAAAATCATACGCCAATCAAAATCAATATCATAAAATAAGTTTTCCCATTTTAGGCAAATATGAGGTTTAATATTGTCAGAAAAGAGTTTATCATAAAATAATCTAGAACCTTTTTTCAAATCCATAAAATCTTTATGAGGAAAGTTATTATCCAGATCATTGTTATGTATATTTCTGTATTGTTTTATGGTCCTTTTCCATGATTCAGGTATGATATACAAACATATCCAAGATCCTTATACGTACCTCTAATATCAAATTTGAGCTTCAGATCTTCAAAAGACATAAAACCATCTTCATTACAAAGGTCCTTAATTGTTAAAATTCCATTTTTAGCCCAATGCCTAATAAAGTGATTTGGGTTTTTGAAATTATCATCATGAAAAAAAGCCCGGGCTTACACATAGTTTTTAAAATGAAAGTTGGTCAAGGCCTCAACACTCACTAAATATAAAGCTTTGTAACCTATCAGGCTTACACGAAAAAATTGGCTTGCTAGACGCCTGGCACATGTGTGTTTGTCTGTGTCTGTGTCTGTCAAGAGGCCACTAGACTGAAGTTAGAATATTAGGGTTCACAATAAACTTAAGGTATGAAAATATCCAAAAGTAGATCGAAAGCAATGAGAGATTGTGTATGAATTGCAATACTTTTTATCAAACGGTTATAGAAGCACAAGTAGGATTAGCATGAGACATGTTTGCATTAATTTCTGTTTAAGTTTGAGTATGGTCGTCGTTGTCATCATCACCATCATCACCATCATCATCATCATCATCCTCGTCATCACGGGAATTGTGTGGACGGCGTATCGGACCCTCTTTCCTCCATCATCTCAGAGCCTGCTCGGTCGGCCATGTTTTCTGACGCGCACACCTTTGATGTTAGTGACGGACATGACGATGCCGTTGTTGTCGGGGCTGTCAAGGAGTTGCTCAAACGCAGTCACCACCTGACTGAGCCTGACAACAAAGTGAGCAGTTCATCACTCGAGGAAGGGGTAGGGGTAGGGGTTACACTGGGGTATAACGTTAATATTGTTTTGTGCATCGTATGGTTCACCACTAGGGATAGGGGTAGGGGTTACACTGGAGTATAACGGTAATATTGTTTTGTGCATCGTATGGTTCACCACTAGGGTTAGGGGTAGGGGTTACACTGGGGTATAAAGGTAATATTGTTTTGTGCATCGTATGATTCATCACTAGGGGAAGGGGTAGGGGTTTACACTGGGATATAACGTTAATATTGTTTTGTGCATCGTATGGTTCATCACTAGGGGTAGGGGTTACACTGGGGTATAACGGTAATATTGTTTTGTGCATCGTATGGTTCATCACTAGGGGAAGGGGTAGGGGTTACACTGGGGTATAACGTTAATATTGTTTTGTGCATCGTATGATTCATCACTAGGGGAAGGGGTAGGGGTTACACTGGGGTATAACGGTAATATTGTTTTGTGCATCTTATGGTTCACCACTAGGGTTAGGGGTAGGGGTTACACTGGGGTATAAAGGTAATATTGTTTTGTGCATCGTATGGTTCATCACTTAGGGGTAGGGGTAGGTTTTACACTGGGGTATAACGATAATATTGTTTTGTGCATCGTATGGTTCATCACTAGGGGTGGGGGTCACACTGGGGTATAACGGTAATATTGTTTTGTGCATCGAATGGTTCATCACTAGGGGAACGGGTAGGGGTAGGGGTTACACTGGGGTAGGGGTTACACTGGGTTATAACGGTAATATTGTTTTGTGCATCGTATGGTATAAAACTCAGGGATGTTCATAAAGTGAAAAGAGGTTTCATTTGTCTTCATCTGCCATTTTCCTGATTCAGTGTCACTGGGAAACAAACATAGTCTATATACATGACTCCCGCTGACTTTATATCACAATGCTGTCACTCACGGCATCACTCCCACTTCCGCCATCATTCTCTGGGAATCCTCGGTGTACAGACTCCGGCCTTCGCGGAAGTCACCATGGACAATCATGTCGGTGTCGGTGAAGGTTGGACATATACACGCAAAGCTGATGCCGAGAGACGCCAGATGCGGGTTGGCCTGCACATATTGTACGGGAATATTTCACACAGCTGTCTTCAGGGTTTATCACAGATAACTGATGACGCTTCGAGCATTAACGATAACTCATAATTTAAATAAACAGGTCCCCTGAAAATGATAAAGGTCAACCCCAGCTGATATCTGTCAATAGCAGGACCAGTGGTTTATTTATGTGTTTGATACATATGTACATAACAAATAGTTGCGATAGATCATTAATTACGTACCGGCGGTAGATACAAAACAGTATCGACGCCAGTGCTTGATATATTTCAATAACGGTACCAACAGTAAACACGTGTCAGTATTGGTACCAACAGTTGATATATGTCAGTAATGGTACTGGCAGTAGATGCAAAACTATACTGGTTCCAGTATCGGAATCAGGAGCAGACATGTGTCCGTGTAGGTTCTAGTAGTTCTGTAACAGTAGTCTTGTGTGTTGAATCTAAGTTGAAAACTTTACAGTCGTCGTTACCTGGAAATCAGTCCGTAAAAGATCTCGGTATGAAACTACCGAGCAAGGTTAATTTGCCATGGCAGATTGCACGATTCATCACCTGCTTATCACCATTTCCCAACAATTTGCACTTGCTTGAATTCAATTATGGCGATAGGATGAAGATATTTAACCCAACTTACAGCCCAGCTCCTGGTAAATCCAACAACGCCGAACTTAGTGGCGGCGTACACTGGGGTTGTGTGTACTGGGATCAAACCTGTTGGACAGATTGTAAATATACACATAACAGTAGAAGTGGGCGGGACAGATTATAAAATACACCTAACAGTAGAAGTGGGTGGGACAGACATTAAAATACACATAACAGTAGAAGTCGGTAGGACAGACATTAAAATACACATTACAGTAGAAGTGGGCGGGGCAGATAGTAGAATACTCATAACAGTAGAAGTGGGTAGGACAGACATTAAAATACACATTACAGTAGAAGTGGGTGGGACAGACATTAAAATACACATAACAGTAGAAGTCGGTAGGACAGACATTAAAATACACATTACAGTAGAAGTGGGTGGGACAGGCCTTAAAATACACATTATAGTAGAAGTGGGTGGGACAGACATTAAAATACACATAACAGTAGAAGTCGGTAGGACAGACATTAAAATACACATTACAGTAGAAGTGGGCGGGGCAGATAGTAAAATACACATAACAGTAGAAGTGGGTAGGACAGACATTAAAATACACATTGCAGTAGAAGTGGGTGGGACAGACATTAAAATACACATAACAGTAGAAGTGGGCGGGGCAGATAGTAAAATACACATTACAGTAGAAGTGGGCGGGGCAGATAGTAAAATACACATTACAGTAGAAGTCGGTAGGACAGACATTAAAATACACATTACAGTAGAAGTGGGCGGGACAGACATTAAAATACACATTACAGTAGAAGTCCGGTAGGACAGACATTAAAAATACACATTACAGTAGAAGTGGGCGGGACAGACATTAAAAATACACATTACAGACATTAGAAGTCGGTAGGACAGACATTAAAATACACATTACAGTAGAAGTGGTGGTGGACAGATATTAAAATACACACACATAACAGTAGAAGTCGGTGGGACAGACATTAAAATACACATAACAGTAGAAGTCGGTAGGACAGACATTAAAATACACATTACAGTAGAAGTGGGTAGGACAGACATTAAAATACACATTACAGTAGAAGTGGGTGGGACAGACATTAAAATACACATTACAGTAGAAGTCGGTGGGACAGACATTAAAATACACATAACAGTAGAAGTCGGTGGGACAGACATTAAAATACACATTACAGTAGAAGTCGGTAGGACAGACATTAAAATACACATTACAGTAGAAGTGGGTGGGACAGACATTAAAATACACATTACAGTAGAAGTGGGTGGGACAGACATTAAAATACACATTACAGTAGAAGTCGGTAGGACAGACATTAAAATACACATTACAGTAGAAGTGGGTGGGACAGACATTAAAATACACATAACAGTAGAAGTCGGTGGGACAGACATTAAAATACACATTACAGTAGAAGTCGGTAGGACAGACATTAAAATACACATTACAGTAGAAGTGGGTGGGACAGACATTAAAATACACATTACAGTAGAAGTGGGTGGGACAGACATTAAAATACACATTACAGTAGAAGTGGGTGGGACAGACATTAAAATACACATAACAGTAGAAGTCGGTAGGACAGACATTAAAATACACATTACAGTAGAAGTGGGCGGGGCAGATAGTAAAATACACATTACAGTAGAAGTGGGCGGGGCAGATAGTAAAATACACATAACAGTAGAAGTGGGCGGACAGATTATAAAAATACACATAACAGTAGAAGTGGGTGGGACAGACATTAAAATACACATAACAGTAGAAGTCGGTAGGACAGACATTAAAATACACATTACAGTAGAAGTGGGCGGGGCAGATAGTAAAATACACATTACAGTAGAAGTGGGCGGGGCAGATAGTAAAATACACATAACAGTAGAAGTGGGTGGAGCAGATAGTAAAACACGCATAACAGTAGAAGTGGGCGGGGCAGATAGTAAAATACACATTACAGTAGAAGTGGGCGGGGCAGATAGTAAAATACATATTACAGTTGAAGTGGGCGGGGCAGACATTAAAATACACATAACAGTAGACTGAATGACTGAGTTTAGTTTAACGCCGCTTTCAGCAATATTCCAGCAATATCACGGCGGGGGACACCAGAAATGGGCTTAACACATTGTGCCCATGTGGGGAATTGAACCCGGGTCTTCGGCGTGACGAGCCAACGCTTTAACCACTAGGCTACCCCACCGCCCCCATAACAGTATAAGTGGGAGGGGCAGATAGTAAAATACACATTACAGTAGAAGTGGGCGGGGCAGATAGTAAAATACACATAACAGTAGAAGTGGGAGGGGCAGATAGTAAAATACACATTACAGTAGAAGTGGGCGGGGCAGATAGTAAAATACACATAACAGTAGAAGTGGGCGGGGCAGATAGTAAAATACACATTACAGTAGAAGTGGGCGGGGCAGATAGTAAAATACACATTACAGTAGAAATTAGGGAGGAGCAGATAGTAAAATACATTACAGTAGAAGTGGGGCAGGGGCAGATGAGTAAAATACACATTACAGTAGAAGTGGGAGGGCAGATAGTCAAATAAACACTACAGTAGAAGTGGGCGGGGCAGATAGCAAAATACACATAACAGTAGAGAAGTGGGAGGGGCAGATAGTAAAAACACATAACAGTAGAAGTGGGAGGGCAGATAGTAAAACACACATAACAGCAGAAGTGGTCGGGGCAGATAGTAAAATACACATTACAGTAGAAGTGGGCGGGGCAGATGGTAAAATACACATTACAGAAGAAGTGGGCGGGGCAGATAGTAAAATACACATAACAGTAGAAGTGGGGAGGGGCAGATAGCAAAATACACATTACAGCAGAAGTGGGAGGGCAGATATTAAAATACACATTACAGTAGAAGTTAGGTGGGGCAGATAGTAAAAATACACATAACAGTAGAAGTGGGCGGGGCAGATAGTAAAAACACATAACAGCAGAAGTGGGCGGGGCAGATAGTAAAATACACATAACAGTAGAAGTGGGTGGGGCAGATAGTAAAATACACATTACAGTAGAAGTGGGCGGAGCAAGAAAGTAAAATACACACCAACAGTATAGTAGAAGTGGGTGGGGCAGACTGACTGACTGACTGAGTTTAGTTTTACGCCGCTTTCAGCAATATTCAACAATATCACGGCAGGGGACGCCAGAAATGGAAGCAACACATTGTGCCCATGTACGGTGGTGAACCGGGTCTTGGTGAAAGCGTGCCAGCATGCCCAACCACTAGAGCTACCCCACGCCCCCATAACAGTAGAAGTGGGAGGGGCCGAGATGAAGTAAAATACACATTACAGTAGAAAGTGGGTAGGGCAGATGGTAAAATACATAATAACAGTAGAAGTGGGAGGGGCTGAGATAGTAAATTACACACATTACAGTAGAAATTAGGGTGGGGCCAGATAATAAAAATACATTACCTGGTAGAAGTGGAAGTGCAGATGAAAGTAAAATACACATTACCCGTAGAAGTGGGTCGGGGGCCCGATAGTAAAAATACACATTACAGTAGAAGTGGGAGGGGGCAGATGGTAAAATACACATTGGCAGTAGAGGAGTGAGGGGGCAGATAGTCAAATAAAACACTACAGTAGAAGTGGAGACGAAAGATAGTAAAATACACATAACAGTAGAGAAGTGGGCCGGGGCAGATGGTAAAATACACATTACAGTAGAGAGTGGGGAGAGGGGCAGGAATGGTAGAAATACACATTACAGTAGAAGTGGGCGGGGCAGATAGTAAAATGCACATAACAGTGGGAAGTGGGGAGGGCAGATAGTCAAATAAAACACTACACAGTAGAAGTGGGCGGGGCAGATGGTAAAATACACACATAACAGTAGAAATTAGAGGAGAGGGGCAGATGAAGTAAAATACACATTACAGTAGAAGTGGTCAGGGAGACTGAATTAAGTAAAAATACACATTACAGTAAGAGGTGGGTGGAGCAGATGGTAAAATACACATAACATTAGAAATTAGGCCAGGGGCAGATAGTAAAATACACATAACAGTAGAAGTGGGCGGGGCAGATAGTAAAATACACACATAACAGTAGAAGTGGGCTGGGCAGATGAAATTAAAATACACATTACAGTAGAAGTGGGCGGGGCGAGATGGTAAAATACACGCATAACAGTAGAAGTGGTCGGGGCAGATGGTAAAATACACATAACGAGTAGAAGTGGTCGGGGCGAGATGGTAAAATGCAGTACGGTAGGCAGCGGCGTAATA